GAGTTGATGATTAATACATACAAAGTGCTTAGAATGGTGCCTGACACAAAGTGAGTGCTATATGGTCATTAGCTATTTTCGTTATTTACACAGTCATGAAGCTACTTTATAATATAGTTCATCAATTGAATAGGTCCCTATCACCCCTCCCTGGGATTCTCATGGATACCTGGAAACTGATGCTTGCTCCTCCCCTTCTGTCCTTCAACTGCTCCCTGAACGAGGACTAGAAAGGCCAGTTCCTCTCTCCTTACCTCCTGCATGTATCTGCTCAGGGTCATCTTCTCAGCCAGGCCTTTCCCTCCATTCCTCCTTCACAAGCCTTCTTATTCTCCATGGTACTTACCACTATCTGACATGGAGAAACCATTTATTTTCTGATCCTGCCTCCTTAGAAAGCGTATCAGAGGGCAAGTTCTACCAAGCAGGAACTTTCTCTTCACTCTTGTATAGCAGGCAGTCAATAATTATTTTCAACAAATTCATTATTCCACCCATTCTACCACATTCCAGGGCTTTTTCTTTTTAAAAAATCACCTCCTTTAGTCCTCACAGACCTTCAAAGGAGGTGTTATCATCACCATTTTTTACAACACCCCAATGTGCAACAAGGTTAAATATCTTAACCACAGTCACAAGCTTCCAGATAGAAAAGCCAAGATTTAATCTCAGGTCTGGATCTAAAGCCCCAGCCACACTAGGTATTTGGATGGGCTCATTTAAGTATTAAGGTTTAATGTATTCATTCGACAAATATTTGAGGACCTGAGCTGACAAGTACAGTGTAGTCACTGAGGAATACAATGGTGAACTTGTTTTCTAGAGGAGAATTTGTGTCACTGACTCACCCACTTAGAAATACAAATTCTTTGAAATAAGAGACTAGAAGTTAAAAGCACAGCGGCAGCAGCAGGGACTGGCTCTGAATGCCTCCCAGTATGCTAACACTTTACTACAGAAGGGAATGTAACAGAGATCAAGAATCATAAGGCTCTAAGGTAGGCACATGTGGCAGAAGAGGCCACAGAGTTCCATGAAACCCCTACCCAGGTTCTGGAGATCAGCAGTAATTTACTAAAATGGGAAATCTGTGTTGCCCATAGTAGGGGATCCTGAGTAGTTCTAAAATAAGACATCTCCGCCCCCTCTGAGAAGCTTGTCTTCTATTCCTTACATAGCTCAATATGCTTTTCCACTCTGCAATATATTCGCCCAAAGAGAATAATGGAATTGCAGGGATTCACCTAAGCATAAATAGCATAAAACTTTAAAGACCTACGGTTTTTTCTAGAGAGGTCAGAAGGCTCCTTGGAAGAGGGGAAAAGCATAACGTAAGAAACGTTATTCTGCTAGTGCTTACATTCTTTACCTCTACAACCTAGCAAATCCTCAAAAGCGCAACCAGGTAACCTGCTGACCACAGGTAAGACATTGCAGCATCAAAGGTAAGCCTTCTTCCAAAGTTCAGGTGTACCTTTTGGTTCAGAAGTCACAACTAGGATCTCGGTGCAGAAATGAGCCACTGCGAATGACTACTAGTCCCATCCTTACACAAGGGTCCTATGATCACATTCCAAATTGCCAAGTGCGTGATAGAAAGCTAAGTGTATGCAAAAGAATGTAATTGTACTTTTTTTTCCCCCCGGGATGCAGTGTGAAACGGCCCTGTGGATCCAGGGACCCTGCACGAGCGGCTGGAAACCTGGAGCTGTCACGCTGGAAGCTGGGGTAAGGAGAGCAGACAGGAGGTGGTGGCCCCAGAGGTGACAGTGTAGGGTATGACAGAGAACGACCCCCAGACCACTCTCTTTAGGGATGTGGGGTATCTGGAAGAGGACAAGACCGGCCAACGGCCAGGAGTGGAGGTGGCTGCAGGACCCGGGGTGTCCAGGGAGGGAACAGGACAGGCCCAGGCCCAGGCCCTGGGCGGGGCCGGGGAGGAATTCCGGAGACCCAGAAAGGGAGACAGCCGGGCAGGGGCAGAAGTAGGTGGCCCCTGACCCGGGTGTCAGGGAGTGAGTACCTCTGAGCAGGAGGAGGAGGAGGACTGCAAGCTCTACGGTTCTTACCAGGTCGGAGCGTGTCTATTGGTGACCCGAGGGGACCCTGGACAGTCGCCGACACTGCCAGGCACAAACTGAGGGCCCAAAGGCAGAGTTCTCGCGAGAGCTAACCTTTCCTGACACGCCTCTCGCCACGGGGCCGAAGTCTCGCGACATCTAGCTCGGTCCGTTGAGAGCCCTTGATTGCCCTCTGGAGGGCGCGGAGTGGATACATCAAATCAAAGGAAGCAAGTATTTTGAGCAAGAACTGTGCAGAGAACTGTAATTCTCTTGCACCAAATGTATTCTCACCGTAGATGTTGTTTCCATTTAACAAGCAGATCCAAAACTGAAGGTCAGGTGATTCAAAAGACCGTATGAAGTATGATTCCTTTACATGCAGTACCTGTAGTAGATTCTTTCTTAAATGCATACCTGACACATACTAATTGGACTTTATGAGGTGCAGTGTGCACTTTCAATACATCGACATGATGTGTGACGATCACACCACGGTAATACATCCATCGCCCCAGACATCATTTCTTTGTGGTGGGAACATTGAAAATCCTATTTGCTGTCTATTTGGAAATAGTTATTGTCAACCAAAGTTGTCTTATATTCTAGAGAATATTACAAATTACTTCTCCTATCAAACTGCACATCGTTATGCATTAACAGAGCCGTGAAATGAGACAGAATGAAGGTTGCCAGGGGCCAGAGAGAAATGGGAGAGGGGAGTGACTGTCCTAGGTACAGGGTTTCAGTGGGGGGTGGTGGTGGAAGATCCACAGGTGGACAAAGGTGCTGGTACATGGACTTAACTGAACACTTACAAAATAGAAAATAATCATATTATGTGAGATAAATTTCGCTAAAATTCATTTTAAATGTTCAGTAAATGTGAGACCCCCCCCCACAAAAAAATGTGAGATTCCCAAAAGCTAACCCACAGTTTCTGACTGCAGTGTGCATGCTTATGCGTACCACCACACCATTCTCCACACTCGGCCTCCACCATGCTGTCCCTCCCTCATATTTTTCCCAGAGCGGCACTATACGTGTTGCAAACTTTTTGTGGGTTTATTAGTGACCAGATGTTAAATGGAACTCCTGTGTCTTGGTTCTGACAGAGGACCCCATATTCACATCAACAGTTTTACTACAATTACCACCAAAGGACAGGACCATACTAGAGTTTCATGGATCCCACCAAAGAGTGAATGCAACAAAGGGACCAGGAAACCTCACAAGAAAGAACAGAAGACCTAGCTTCAGATGCTGACACTCTGAGAATAGCCATAGCCTGTGATTGGAAGGGATCTGTGGAAAAAGAAGAAGATAAGTGCATACCAGAGAGTCCCCCAAAGTCCTAGCAGAAGCCACACAGGATCATCTCCTCAGCAAGAAGGATCCAGGACTGCCTCATGCCCTTAGCTTTCCTGTCTCCCATTCCTCTTCAATTCAGATGCAGACTCTGCAGTGAGCCTTTCTAGAACTATAAGTGACCAAAGAATGTCCTTATTACCCAGGATTAAGGTAGGATAAAGAAGATTGTTAGAGACAAGGAAAATTATAATTTTAATGTTAGGTTTCAGGACTCAAAAGTTACTCAAGATTACATGCATTTTTTTCCTTCTAGGAAACTAAAAAGAAAAATCTCAAGGATCTTAAAGATTCAATAAGGCTGCAAATTGAGGGCCTGTGCTTTCCAACTATGAATATTCTGCCCCCCCAACTTCCATCCTCAGGAAAGGAGTACTATTAAGTGGGCAGCATATCTCTAGACGTCAAACACATGTGAATGGTTTGCATTCTAATCTAGCCCACCAAATGGATAACCTGACAGAGAGCAAGAATAAACATCCGAGATATCCTTCTTGAGGGCAACCCCAAGCACACACAAATGCACTCAGATCCAGACCATAACTCTTACTCTGAGTGTCACACACCCCTATGAATGAGTGCTTCTTTCTGGCTAATAAATGTCTTCAGCCTCTCACTGATGTACCTTGAAGATTCTTTTTCTGTAATGGAAGTCAGCAAGGTTGCAACAAACCCCATGGTGGAGTGACTTGAGGTACTCATCTCCACATCAGGGGATCCCTTTGGAGCCTGTCCACGATGTTGTCCACTGATTGCTTGTCTGGGATCTGTTTCACATGGCCACTCAAAGCCCCAGGACAGCAGGAGCCTCACCTCTCTGTTCATAGCTGGGTCCCAGGCTGGCTCCCTGCTCTGCCTAGACACTGTCAGTACAAGGTGGAGAGAGCCAATGCTCTCCACCACAGACATGGTAAAGGAGATACAGGTTGTCACTGCTAGAAGTCCCTCATGTGGGGTTTGAAGGACCCTGGTTAGCAAGACAGACTCCATATTGCTGCTTGACCCACCTGCCTGCCCTTTAGATGAACTCAGAAGGAGGAAGTTTAAAAACCTCCTCCCCTTAGAAAGTCTCTTTAGGAATAACAATTAATCAACTGTTGTTTTACAAATGTTCTAACAGCAGGACGTTTGGCTTCTGTACCTTTTGCTTGCTTTACTAGTTCTATCCCATAGGGGGGCCTAGAAACTGTTGGCCTCAAAGGTGTACAAAACATGTTTGTCTCCCCCCAGTCGAGGCTCGTTCGAGTCCGTTGCTCGGCTCGCGTCCCGGCCGGTAATAAACTCCTGTGTGGATTTAATATTGGTCTCTGGTTGGTTCTCTCTTGCTGGGTATAACAGGGTTCAGTGCACATAAACAGACACCAGAAACCCTGTACCCAGGCCTGGTTCCCTGCAGTCAGAGCCCTGGCCTCCATTCCTTGTGCAGCTGCATGGCATCCTGTGAGGAGGAGTTCATCCTGTCCTGCCCTGTCCTTCTCTGACCTGAGGCAAATGCAGAGGAATTGGGGTCAGAGCACACAGGATACTTTCTAAAGGAGAGGAAGTGAGATGAATATGAACACTACAAACGGAAAAAGGGGTCTGGTTTTTATCTGGAAGACATTTATTTTTACTTTGGTCACCAGATCAGAGGGCACAGGAAGAGAAGACTGATGTGTGAGAAATGACAGAGGTGACCGAGGTGCCCAGGGGAAAGATGCATGATGACCAGATTACAGTGCAAGAGACATGCTGTAAATTTAACTTGTATTTATTTTTGTCTCCTTTAAATGCTCATGTGCTTTGTGATGTGTCTTCAATCACTGCAAACATAATTGGTAAATTAAAAGAACACACACATTCAAGGATTTGCTCAAGAAAGAATTTTACTTGTTGGGGTTACACAATCATAGTCTACTAGAGTCCACAAGGAAACCTAGCCTGGTAGTTCTGGGTCCACTGGAAGACATTAAAACATCCAGTTGAAAACCACACAGGCCTTTCCTGGGTCCTGTTCCTCCACAACAGTGTAGGTGCAGTTCTCCTTGTAGAACATGACACAGCACTTGCTTTTGTTATAATACCCAAGTATAGGAGCTCTGTCATGGAGACAAGACCAAGGTCTGTTAGAAGGACACAACCCATGCCACCCTTCTGCCCAGTCCTGCTCAGCCCAGGATGTAGCCCATAGTCCAGCTGCAGCCCACTTTCTTGGCTGGCAGCCCCAGAGCAAGGCCCCAGACTCCTGGACCTCTCTGTCCATCAGAGTCACATAGACCATGCCTCACATGGACCTTACACTCCTCCTGGCATGCACAGAAGGCAGGGGACATTTTGACAGGCCCACGGCAGCTGTGCCACATGCTGGAGCTGGGAGGCCTTGTCCACTCCAACCCTTGCCACCCTCCCTGTTCAGGAAGTGGCCATTACTGCTCCTGCTGGAAAGTAAAGAGAAGGCATGGCTCACCTGGCATGGCCACCAGTCATCAGTAGTGCTAACTCCACCAAGAGGAGCAAGGAGCCATCAGGAAGAGGATGATCAGACTGGGGTCACCTTCCTGAGAAAATCTACTCCACACTCAGTGCTGCATGGTGTAGGGCTCATTGCTCTCTTGAAGCTCATCCCATGCTCATGGGTGTGTAACAGCCCAGAGTGTACAGAAGGAGACAACCCCAGGGGCTCTTGAGACAATGTATTCTTCCAAGCAGTGACCCTGGACTTTTGTTTTAACAAAAGAGGACATTTTGATCCTTTTCCCCAGGCACCATAAGAGGTATGGCTCTTCTGTGCTCAGTTCTGGACCCCAGGACACTGGCACTTCCAGCCCTTGGTGATACAGTGAGGGAGGAGCTGGAGCATCTACTTGTGGGACCCAGGGCACTGGGGGGTGGCCCAGGGGACCAGGCATGAGGGACCCATGTGGGAACTCTGTCTTGTGAGTGGAAGCAAACTCTGGCATCGTGTGGTGGGCTCTAAGGTCCTGGTTTAATTAATACTAAGGAATGGTCAAGTTGTACTACAGAATATTCTAAAGAGGCTTTATGGGATGGAATAGTGAAGATGTTAGAATATTAAATACAAATCAGACAGCAAAATGGCACTTTAATGTTTCATATCCATAGCACAAGAGAAAAAGCATGTAGAGAAGAAACACAAAGAAATTAAGATAAAATATTAATGAGTTTTCCTTTCAGGCAGTGGAATTATAGGTCACTTTTTACCTTTTGCCAGTACTTTGCAATAGCTCTGTAATTAGTGTTTTTCTTCAAAAATATAAGAAAATGTCATTTCAACATTTAAACTAAATGCATGTGTGCAGATGAGAACATCTAGACAGTTTCTCAGGAATTTCACTCCTAGTTCTGAGCCCCAAAGAAGGGAAAGCAGAGACAGAGACATTTGTATGTTCCCAGCAGTGTTATTCCCTATCAGCAAAAGTGTAGGTGTCCCACTGTCCTTCCACACAGGAATAAATAAACCAAGTGTGTGGTGGCAAGGTCCTGGGCTGTTGCTGTTGTATGAAGGAAAGGAGCTCTAACATGCAGCAACAGGGCTCAACCACCGGAAGTTGCTG